CGTTTTTTAAAGGATAGAAGAACAGGCGCTTAATATTATGAATGACCCAGGACCGAGACTGCCTCTTCTTTGTCCAGCACAGAGGTGTACATGCTGTCAGCGCTCCGTAAGTACGAGGCTAGGTCATGTATTCCCAGGCTGCCTGGCTGCACTGCAAGCTGGCACCTCAAGGCATGGAACTAGCCTGCTCCTATAGACAGGCCCTGCAAACTTTCCTCAGTACATTTCCCTTGGAAGCAGCCCTTTTCACCGTAATTTGGCTGGGAACATGAGGTGAGGCGATGCAATCACCACAACTACCATAGCAGCAGCAAGCAGAGAGAGGTGCTTGCTTGAGTCCTGCAGCATTCAGCAGAGTTGATTTTGTTTAATCAGTTCAGACCCCAGGAATTCTGTTCTTTTGACTTGCAGGTGCAAAGTCAGTGCAGCTGCTCTGATTCCCTAGGAAGTTGGGCTGGAAGTGATTTGGGGAAGTTACCTAGCCCAGTGGGCACCAACTTTTTGGGCAGGTGGGCACAGATTAGCTCAGCACCCTCCCCGAGTGCAGGCTGGCCACCCCTTTGCTCCAAGGCAGGATCAGCTCTACCCAAACCATTCCTGACAAGGGTTCATCCAACCTGATCTTAAATCCTTCAGTGACAGAGATGCCACACAGTGCCTCGGGGATCTCCCCCTGCTCCACTGGCTTCAAAGTGGAAAAGTCAGTCCCAGCATCTGATAGAAATCTCCCTTGCCGCAATTCATGGCCGTGGCTCCTTGTGCTTTCCCCAGCTGACAAGCAGAATAGTTCACAACCTTCCTCTTGGCAGTAACCTCTGACATACTTGAAGACTCTTATCACACCTCCCCTCAATCTTTTCTTCTCTAGACAAAACAAACACAGTTCTTTCAATCTTTCCTCATTAATCATATTTCTGAGCGCTTCTCTGGCCTTCTGCTGCATTCTTTCCAGTGGGTCCACATTGGTTTTTGAAGGGTGGTGCCCAAACCTGGACAGAGGCCTTCAAGCCAGGGCCTTACCAGTGCTGCATAGAGCGAAAAGATTGTTTCACAAAGCAACCTTTTCACAAATGGACTCCAGGGGAACCACAGCATCCCTTACCTCTCCTGTGCAAGATGAAGTTTCTTTCCTACCTGGAGAACTTTTACAGTCTTTTTACAGTCTCCTCTGCCTGAAGAAGGGTGTCTGGACCCAAAAGCTTGAAAAAAAAGACATTTTTTTGCTACTATTTAGTTGGTCTAATAAAAGATATCACCTCTAGCACAAGAGTTTTGTCTGCTTCTGCTTTTTAGATCAACACAGCTATAAGCTATACCCCTAAATGATTGCTTCATGTATCTTACACTGAACAGTCTTGTTTGTATGCCCCACTACGATGTTTGCTTTTTTCATGGTAGCATGACATGGTCGACCCATGTTCAGTTTGCCATTCACTAAACTCCCCAGAACTTTGTCTGCAGAACTGCTCCCTAGCCAGGCACTCTCTATTTTGTATCTGTGTGGTTAATTCTGCCTACTTAAGCACAGTAATTTGCACTTGTCTTTATTGAGCCACATCCTATTTATTTCGAACCATTTCTCTAATTTGTCAAGATTGTTTTCAATTCTAGTCCTATCCCCCAAAGTGTTGGCTGAACCTACCAGTTTGATATCAGCTGAAATGTTAACAAGTGGATTCCGTTCTTTCAACCAAATCATTAATGAAAACACAGAACAGCAGTGAATCCAAGAGAGAGCCCTGAGGAACCCCAGTTGCAACATCCTTCCAGCTTCAAACTGAGCTGTCAGTAACCCAACTGGTAGGAAAACAGCAACCTCATCTCAACTGTATTTCCCTAGCTTGCTTATAAGAACACTATGTGATATCATGTCAAAAAGTCTTACTAAAGTCCAGATGTATCACACCAATACTTTTCTATCCTCTTATACTATCATAGAAGAAAATGAGTTTGGTTTGACATGACTTGTACTTGAGAAATCCACGTGGGAGGCAATTTATCATTCTGTTATCTTCTGCGTGTTTACAAACAGATTGCTTCATTCAGTTCCAGTATATTTCCAGGAACTGCAGTTAGGCTGACCCATCTATAATTCTCCAGGTCTCTCTTTTCTCCCCTTTTCAAAAATAGGTGGTGTGTTTTCCCCCCTCTGGTCTTTTGAAACTTCACCAATCCTCCACGAATTCTCACAGACAACAGCTAAGGGCCCTGTGATTGTTTCAGCCCATTCCCTAAGCACTCTATGGCAAATTTCACCAGGCCTAACTCATTTGAAAATCATCTAAGTAGTCTCTAACCCATTCCTTTTTAATTCTAGCCTGAGTTCTTACCCCCTTATTGCTGAGGCTAATTATGTTATTAGCCATCTGATCACAGTTAACCTTTTCATGAAGACTGAAGCAAAAAAGGCATTAAACTCTTCAGCCTTCTCAGCTGTGATTAGCTTTTCCTCCCCTTTGAGGAACAGAGCAATTCTTTTCATGGATACTCTCATACTATAAATGTACTTAAAAATTATGTTTTTGTTACCTATGTCTCTTATAGTTGTACATCATTTTGGATCCTGGCCTTTCTGACTGTGATCCTACATGCTGGTGCTATGTTTTTTTCCTCCTCTTTAGTAATCTGATGTAGAAAAGATGGAAAATACTGATTCCCTCCTGAGTGTCAGGTCATTGAAAGGCTCATGATTAAGCCAAGTTGCTCCTAAGTTGATCAGTTACTTCTGATCTTCCCTTCACAGTTGCACAAGGAGGGTAACCACGTGACCCAGTTTGGCTGGGACAGTCCCAGATTTTAGAGGCCAGTCCCAGCTGGCCGGTAAAATTTTAAACATGAGCCCTGGGTGCAGGGCATAATGTAAAGGGGAGGCAGAGTGCAATGAGCTGTGAAATAAGAAGCCCTAGCAGCCTGCAAAATTGCCCTAAAATAGGTTAGCTTAACATTAAAAAAAGGGAGGTAATCGTTAACACCTGTGAAGTACAAAACAATGGGTCACTAATGGGCCACTGACTCCCTTAGCTGCCTGAATAGTAATACCAGAGCTGCACCACACCACCTCGACCCTGCCTCTGTCCTGCTGACTAGGGGGGAGCAGAGGGGGACAGTGTCCCAGATTTCACATTGTCCCATATGGTCACCCTAGGCATAACCTGTGTTTATGCCCTTACTATTATTGGTTTAAGAAACTGCCATTTCTCCAGAATGTCTCTGTCTTTGGACTTGCTTCCCTTGGGACCTTTTCTACCAATTCTCCAAGCTTACCTGAGTGCTATCGTCTTTGTTCAGCTGTTATCCTTCCTTCCTTTCCTAAGAATCATGAGCTCCACCACTGCCATTTGAGTGGTCTTCTCCCATAACACTCTCAACCAGTTCCTCCCCAACTGGCTGGAATTACATCTACTTCTCTTTGATTGCCTTCTCCACCTTCTGCATCAAAAAGTTATCCCCAGCACCTCCCAGGGACTGTCTGAGCCCTACTATGTTACTTTTCCAAAAAATGTCTGGTTAAAGTCCCCAACTACAGCCAAGTCCCGAGCATAGGATAATTCTGCTAATTACTGAAGAAAAGTCTCATTCACCTTCCTTGCTTGCTGGTCTACAGTTGACCCCTGCCATGACTGAACCCTCAGTTCTCTCTCCTTTTAACTTTATCTGAGCTTTTCAACAGGGTTCTCATTACATTCTGGACCTCCCAGCCCAAGCATACAGTGGAACCTGGGTTGTTCACAGTCAGGATCCTCAACCCCCTCTGAAGACAAGGGTTTGTGAACTAGCCAGGGGAGAATATAAAGCTACAACAAAAAGCTCCACAGGACCAGAGAGGTGTTCCAGCTGATTCCTGCCATTTTTATTTTACACTTCTCCAATTAGCTGTGATAATGATGTTCCTGCTGATTAAGCAGCAGAACACTTTGAGGTAAAAGCAACCACAATTGGCTCAACGGCTCATCCTTAAACGGCAACTCACTGCAAACAAGTGGGTTGTGATCCACTTGGATGTGAAGAAGCTAGGTTCCACTGTACATCCTTGATGTATACAACATCCTGGCCTCCCATCCCCTGCCCCACAGTCATTCTGGATGTGCTATGCCCTTCTCAATCACTATTCCAGTCACGTCAATGATCCCACCAAGTCTCTGTGACATCACAGAGTTATGCTCTGCACTCACATTGGGGTGACACATGGCACAATTTGGGAGATGCTTAAAAAAAGAACACATTAATGAGAACAGTGCAAAAAGCAGGCTCAGCAGTTATGTTTCTTCTGCCTCTTGGCATCCTGTGGAGAAGAGCCACACACAATCACCGAAGTACAGTCCTCCACAGACCCAGATAGGCAGACAAGGAAGGCCTAGCCTTGTGAGGGGAGGTGGGGTACGTGCCATCACTATGTTCCAGTGAGAGTACAAGCACTGCGGACACCCAGGCACCAGTGAGAACAGCCAACTCCATCCTGGCAGGGGGGACACATTTCAAGCCAAGCCCCCTCAGTCATAAGGTTAAGGGAGGCAGGAGCGGTTTCTGGGCGATTCTTGTTGTCCTAAGGAGGCCCTTGGCTATGCAGCTCTTTGCAGGTCTCCCTGCTGCTACTTGGCAAGGGCGCATTGGAAGCTGACACAGGCCAGAGAGGAACAACCGAGGCTGCACGTGTCTGGCAAGCACCTACCTCACTTGCTTCCTAATTTTGTTTGTTCACACAACTCCACACATCCACCCTGGGCAGAATAAGCCCTGCAAGAGGAAGCGCTCAGCTTGCCTCAGTGGTTCTATCCCAAAGCCCCCCCCCCGAAACCCAAATGCACACTGAGAGGAGAAAGAGCATGATGTGTCCTCTGAGCTTGTACAGGGAAAGAGACACACCACCTGTCAGGTGAGCTCCTTAGAGGCAGAACAGCTGCTCAGAACCAGGCCAGACACCATTGCTGCCTGAGCAGGCATCAAGCCTAAAAATAATTCACATAGCAAAAGGTCTCTGGGATGGGAGACGCAGAGCTTACCACGTTCCAGAAAAGCGGGTTAAAAAAAATGAACAGGACAGCAGCGGCAAAGGTGCAGTCGGTCACTTTGACGTAGCCAAGGAGCCAGGTCATGGCGGAAGACTCGATCTGCAAGGAAGGTCACAAAGTTAGCGTGACGTGCGCCTGCCTTGACGTCGCTAGCCGGCACCTAGAGGATTGAAGGCAGCACGGGTTGTTAAGTGTTCAGCACAAGGCTACATCAGATTTGGTGATGTTACTGCAGTATCATCACTCTGTGCACAACCCTTCAACCCTAATAGCAGCAGTTCAGAGTCTGTTGGGTGCTCACAGCCAAAGCAAAGCTAACCACGGCCAACTCCTGGATCGGATATCTCCTATGAGCATTCTTATGCTGTGGGACACGCACAAGTCAGGAGGGGGAACCTCAGGTTCAAGATCCACAGGGGGTGCCATGCTGTGCTCAACTTCTGGATGAGACTACATTGAAGGTCAAAGAAGCCAATGCCCTGCTGGAATCTAACTCAAGATTTCACACTGTGCAAAACTAACCCTTCTCCAGGCCATCAGCCAGATACAAGACCATTCTTCACCTCCTGTCCTAAACTGCCAAATAGCTCTCACATTTACCTCCAAATGGCTGCACTGCAGTGGCAGGTGAATCCTTTAGCATTCCTTGATTCTGAAGTGCTGAGTGCTTCCATATCATCAGCTTTACTTGGGGAGCTCAGACCCTCTAGAGACCTAGGATTTAACCTGTTCCAGCCTGCAGATTCCTATCAGCCATGACAAAGGGGCAGAGTATAGCAGGGTACTATTCACGTAGGTACCACAATACTGGGGAAGCTGGGGAAATCCACATCTGTTTCAGAGGCAAATAATAACAATGGTGTTTCAGCTCACATTTAGAGGAGAAGGATCAGGGTATAGCTAACAGCACTGTACCAGGACCCCAGCTCTGTCCCTATACAGCCTGGATGTCACACACCAAAGCACCCCTCAGGTTTTCCTTCTGTAAAGTGAGAACAATACTAACGTACCTCCCCAGGGTACTGGAAAGGGAAATTCACTCCTGTTTGTAAGTAGAGCTAATCAGAATAAATGTTAATGTACTTTGTTTTTTTGAACCATGCCCATCCCAAACAGCAGCCTCTCTTCAGGGACAGAAACTTTTCATTGCAAACTATCAACATCATAAGCATTTTCTGTAAAAATAGCCAGGCTGCCACCCCTTCCCCTCCACAAAACAGGTATCGAGTGCATAGGAAGTTGCTGTGTGCCAACAGCAAAATCTTGCAAAAACCGTGTTGGAAAAAACAACATTCCACTCCCATTTGGATCAAATGAAAATGTTTTTGAACCTATACCCCCCTCGAAATGTCAAAGGCTTCTGCTTTTCAAGTGGCCGCATTTGGAATATTTCAGAGACAGTGATGCTGGGAGGGGACCAATCTGAATTTAAAACCCAGGAGCTTGGGTTGGGGTCAGTTCCCAGAGCAACCTGAAATGATCCTGGCACACGGGTGATACTGATATCTCAATGTGAGGGAGTAATGAGGCTTCTTGCCTAAAGAGCACATTGGGCATTAGCGTGAAATCATCTCATCTCACATGCCCGGAAAAAAGGGAATCTGAGCTCCCAGCCTTCTCGTGGGCCCTCGGAAATCATGGGCCGTGCGTAGCAATTTGTGAAGAAATGAGCCGTTAAATCAGAGGCTGTTTATTTACAGTGAAACCCCCGTCCTGAGATGCAAAAGCGCCGCCCCGAACGGCATTGGGAATCCGTTCCCTTGCTGTGCTTCTACAATTCTGGCTGCTCTCCTGAGGTTCTGGTTGTAAAGCTCCCGCTGTGAGCTGCCACATAGGGTGTTTTTCCTAGAAGAGAAGGCAAAACTCCTCATGGCCACAGCAAAAGCCAGGGGGAGGTCACGGGGGCTCACTCATGAAAAGCGTTTACAAATGCTTGGCACTGGGAAGGAGCTCCAAGAACAGCACACACGTGGCCTGACTCTGACAGAGTTCCCACGGCAAGGTTGGATCCACGCTGGATCCCAAGAGGGCCCCAATCCCCAGTCCCTCGCTCTCCAATCCAACCACACACCCCGCTTCCCCTTGCCTTGGCTTATTGTTCACGTCCTCCATCTGCTAAGTCCATCTCACCCTCCAGGCCCCCACCTTACACAAAGATTATAGCTACAGCCATTGTCCCCCATCTTCCAATCCCTGGCACTAACTCTGGCCTCAAGTTCAAAGAGCTCATTCTCCCCTCCCTGGCATCTGCTCTGCTCCATGGCCACCTGCCCCACTTACTTCCATCCAACTGCCCTAGACCTCCATTTGCATTATTCTTCCAAGAACCTGCCAAACCTTCTCCGAGCTGCCCATTACCGAGTCCCCCCTTCACCCAAAGACAAGCATTATCAGCTGCAAACAACACACTAAGTATCCAGCGTACAACATGTCCAGACTGCCTGGCCTGTGTCTAATATGCATGTTGTGTAGCAAGGTATGTTTCTGCTTTTTTCCAGCGCAGAACACACTGTCAGCAGTTGAGGAACAAAAGCCCCTCTTGCCGACCTACTCATTCACTGGTGGAAGCCCCATTAAACGCGGCGCGGACTTTCTTTTCTCCTTCTGAACCACCACGGTCTCAGTCACGGGCACACAGCAGATTGGGCTGTGATCAGTTGTGCTTTTATGGGCAAGAGGGGAGCCTTTCAAGACAATCTGTCTATCCAAGGGGCTCAGGATGTCATGTAATTAAATGTAGCGCAGCACACTCAAACCTTGGCTCCCCATCAGTCATTATGTAACCGCAGATGTACAAGAAGACGACTCATTGCAGCAAAACAGCTGTTTACTTGCTGCCCAGAGCCAGCACAAGAAACCAGCCAGGGGTGGAGAGACAAAGGGATAGAAAAGCTATATTGGCACATACTATAGTAGGGCTCAAAGGCATGGGGAGCTGACCTTTGATGTGCCAGGCACTGGTGAAACAAGGCATGGTTCTGCAATCAACTGCCCAGTGGGCAAAGGTACCTGCAGTGCTACAGAGCACAGGCCACCCACAGGCAACCCACTGTAAGATGCGGGGCTTCGGAAATAGGCATCGTCCTGGCCTTTGACAAACATACTAAAAAGAGCAAGGGAAGAGGGACAGGGTCACATCTTTAGACGAGGGGCTGTTACAAATAATGAACTATTCCCTGCAACAATGCCCCAGCCTTGTCACTTCATGCTGGCATCAAGGTTGGTACCCACCACGCTTCCAGGCTCTAGAAAACAAGGTTAATTAAATGGAAAGGATTTGTAAGTGCCTGAGTGGGGTACACTCTCCAAGGGGGAAAATTTCATAGACATTATAGATTACACAGACATTAGGGGCTGGAAGGGACCTCGCAAGATCATTGAGTCCAGCCCAGAATGGTTCTGATGATGCTCCCAAGGGGCTGGGCTGCTCCTGTATAAACCAGGAGCATCCAAGATGCATGCAGCAGGCCAAACCGAACCTACCAAAATAACTTCTATGCACCAGGATTTAATCTGCCCTAAGATGACCAAGTAAATATTGGAACTGGAGCTCTAAAAGGTCACAAAAATAAAAGCAGGAATCTCAGGCCACTCGTCAATACAGCCAAAGGAAAATATCCCTGCTACTCGCACATGCTGTCCATGGAGGGAGATGAACCAGATAAAGCCTAGAGATTTCTTCCAACCCAAATATTGATGAAAGCAGATGTACTGTGCCGGTACACATGTGGTTCGGCTTTTATGATTCTGTTCCTCCCTACAACCGGCTAGTTTACGGCTTGCTTCTCTTCTGTAGCAATTAGGGGTTCACCCCTGCAAGGCACGGAGACTCCTCGATACCCAGAGCACGCCGCAGCTCCCAGGCACGACAAGGCCTTTGAGCAGCTAAGAAAACAGGCTTCTCCCCTCGCCTTCCCCCCACACCCTGTGATCCCCATAATGAGCAAAGCAGCCAGATTTTTTTTCTAGTCAACACAAGACACCAGCATCTGCCAAAACGTGACAGGATTATTTCAGGAGAGGAATGCTCCGATCCCACTGAACCACTGACAGCCTGGCGCACGTGGGCGACAGCGATGCCAGCTGCCCCCCACCCACAAGCGCAGCGAGTCAAGGCGCATTATTTTCAAGCTCTGCAAAAAAAAATATAAGTCTTCCCAAAGATGCAACAACAGGCTTGGCAACGAGCGGCTGGGAGGGCAGCACAACCCCAAAACGGCCACCGAGGCCCGATCGGAGGCTCCCTCCAGCACCCCTGGGCCCCGCGTTTGCTTCGCGAGGGGCCGGAGCAGCTCTGCAGGGAGGGCAGAGTGGGGCAGGGGCCTTGTCCCGGGGCGAGTCAGACGCTGCGGCGCGGGGGCAGCTTCGCAGGCGCGGGAGGGTGGGAGAGGGCAGGAATTGCCCAATTTACCTACCGGCGCCTCCCTGGTGAAGCACGGGCTGACGTGCACCGAGCCGTGTGCGCACGCACACGTGTGTGAAGTGCTGCACCCCCGGAAACCGGTGTGTGCCTTGAATGTGGGGTGGGGGGGCTGGCTTGTGCCTTGCACATGGGGGAACCCTGCCTCACGCCTTGCACGCTGGGGGGTTCCCTCACACCTTGGACACCGGGAACTCTGCCTCACGCCTTGCACCCTGAGGAGCTCTGCCTCACCCTGTGCACATGGGGGGCTGCATCACACCTTGCACACTAGAGAGCTCTGCCTTGCACACGAGGGGGGGGCCTGCCTCACCTCCCACACGGGGGGATGCTTCACACCTTGCACCCTGAAGAGCTCTGCCTCACACCTTGCACACCGGGGAGCCCTGCCTCACACCACGCACATGGGGGAGGGGGCCCGTCCCACCACCCCGGTACCTGGCCGTAGTCCACATTGCCGAGGCCTCCACAACAGTCCAGGGCCGCGGCCCCCCCGCCCCGCGCGCGCGC